GGCGGAAAAACAGGCAATTACGTTTCAACCAAATGCAACACAAAATTCGGTGAATATGCAAACACATCCAGTAAGCAAGCAGGCCGGTCGAGTCATGTGAGCGAAACACAGCCAATGGCAAGACAGATATTTGCATATCGCGTGTTTTATGCATGAGGTGAAAGCGGAAAATCAAATTTTGTTCTCAAGGAACGCAAGCCAGTTGCTTCTCGAATTAACAATAAATTCTTTTCGAATAATATGGCCTAAAAACTTTCCACCTCGACTCCAAAAATCAAGGATAGTAGTACAGCCATAGTAAACCCATACGCAATCAAAAAACGTGAATCTCAAGGTGATTTTGAAAATTCTGACCAACCCTGTCTCGACATTTGGTTGAAGCAGCTCCGATTTGGACATAGGGGTGATCCTGCAAGAAACACTATCCCAGCAAAAAACGTCATCCAAAAACTGAACACGATGATCTCGTCCCTGTAGAATTTCGCTGGCTTTTTCTACCATCTCATTAATACTGAAAAAACGATCTACTCAGTCATAGACGGTTAGGTGGTGCGGCGGATGGAACACCCAGGCATCTTTTCCATAAAGATGGTCGAAGCATACACAGAAAAGGACCCCATGCTCAAGATCATACGCGACGCAATACGGGACAAGAATCCGAAGGTGGAAGAGATTATTACGAGCCTGGGCCAAAACTACGGACAACACTTCCCAGGCCTCGCCGTCAAAAAAACTACCTTTAGATGGATGGGAGACTCGCAAAATCGAAGGCGCTGGCGAGCCCAATTAAGAACCGACTGTACTACTAACACCCTAACACCCTGCCGCGAAAAAATCTATGCAGCCTTTGAGTTGATATGGATGCCCATGATGCACTGTAACTTGGAAGCGACGGCCAAATTATGCAAAAACTACCTAGAAGCAGGTAGAAATTTTAAGTCTGACATAGCCAAGAGTGACGTAGGAGAAATGTTTGTGCCAAAGGAAGCCAACGGAATAGTCCAATTGGACTTATAAGGGCCAGTTAATTACGTAAAGGGAGGAAAAAATACGCCCTAGTAGCCGTCGATGCATTTTCTCACTGGCCGTTAACCTATTTCTGCTCTAGCAAAACTTTGTAAAATGCGCTAATAACGAACTTCCCAGAGAACTTAACATTGATCAGGACTCCGGTTTCTTCTCAAATAAGATTAATCACTTCTGCAAAAATGAAACTATATAATTATTAAAAGTGCCTGTTTGAGATCATCAGGCCACTGGTGGGGTCGGAGGAACCTTTGGCTCTCTTAAAAACTACGTTATACATATCTAAAAGAACGTACCGAGCAAAAGTTCAAACTTCTTATAGAGCACATGAAGACAAACTTCACTCCATTCGAAGCACTTAATGAAAGATAAGCTAACACCGTGTTGCGAAACTTCACAAAACGCTCAAGTTTGAAAAACTTTAACTGGAACAAAGTATTTAACCAAAAATTGTCTTCTTTAGACGGAGCGAGCGGTAGAGCCAACGAAGACGCTTTCAACTTGGCCGTGTGTAACCTCCGAATGCTATGGGAAATCATTCCTGCGACACACTCGGAGGAGCCGAAAGAAACAAACAGAAAAAAGGCAGGGGGAAACGAAGGAAACAGATCCTCGGCCCCACCTCGACCAGGACACATCGGAGGGTAAGACGAGGAATTAATAAACTGCGTCGGCCACGCGCAGGACCCGAAGATTTCAAACGAGCTCCCGAATAAAGAGGACTGAAACAAAAGTCTCTGTCTCCATACCGCACTGAGGAACACCTCGAAGCCCGTAGAGACAAAGGGGGCAAAGAGGTCAAACTCACCGTTCTGACATGAAGGACAAGCCACTCATAGTGATAACTACATGAAACCTGCAAGGCATTTTGGTCCATGAGACAGATGAAAATAGACTGAAAAAGGTTATAACGATGTGGAAGGCAAAAAGTGGGAGATAATCCTCGTAACTGAGCTCCGGAAAAAAAACGCAAGGAGTAAAATGGCTTAGAGGAATAGGAAATCAAACGGTCTTTATTCACTCCCAGCGCAGCGGAAAAGTACTCAGGGGTGAGACTGTCAAATCCTGGATAGAGGAAGGCCAGAAGAAACGTTTTCCGGAACGTACCAGCGCCGTCGAAACACACAGCCTGAAAATTGTGTATGCGTACCAAACTCTAGGGTGTAACGGAATTATTGGAATAGAAGAACACAGACACTGCCTAGACAATGAAATTACTAGAAATGACTAGAACCCCAAAATCCAAAGTATTAACAGTTGGTCCTGATCATAATGCTCACATTAGAAGGGAAAGGACTCGTGAAGCAAATGGTAGGTATTGTCTCATGACTTCAACAACTGAAGCAGGAGGAGAACATCACGACTGGTGCGTACTACACAATCCCCAAAGGGTAAACTCTTTCTCAAAAATTAGAAAAAGAGGAACATCTTTCAACCACAGCCACCGCCGAGAGTTCTGGACCTTCCGTAAAGCGTATCCCAGAGTAGATAAACCTGCTCTCTGGGAAAACTGCGTGATGTTTTGGGATCTTTCCCAGATTCCCTAAAAGATTTACATGAGGCAACCAGTTACCAAATAAAAGCAAAAGAAGGGGATAGCAAAAACTGAAACCCTGAAAGAGGGTTAAGGGAAGGCTGCTCAACATCTCCCTGTTTTTTCAATTTATATCACAAATTATTGATGCGCATAGCGGAACCTGAACTTAAAAACTATTTCAGATGCTAAGTACGAACAAACAAGTGTAAAATCGCGTTGAATACAATATGTGTAAAATGGCGTTGCCAGATTTGATAAAAATAGAGAAACATAACAATGAGACGAAAACTGTAAATTTATTCTATCCCTATTTGCCGACGACACCGCTGTCATCGGGGAACAAAGAAAAACTGAAAACATGATCAAGAAATTGAACATGATCAAGAAAATATTGGGTAAATTCGAAATGAAAAACAATGAGGACAAAGAAGAGGCATTTCTTGGATCGGAAGAATCCGAACAGTTACTCATCTTGCGCTGCTAGCTGGGACCGAAAGCAGATATACAAAATCGGATAAGCGTGCAGGATATTAATGAGCAAATTTGTGACCACAATACCAAAAAAAAACATGCTCCCAAAGAAAAAACAAGCACAAACACTACAAGTATGCGTGGAAAGCGGACCACTGTTTGACTGCAGTACTCGACCATGGTATAAAAGGGAAGTTAAGAGTTTACAATTTTGGATTGACAAAAGATACTGATACCTCTGGAGCGACATAAAAGGACCACCTTTGAAACAAATGCAGGCTGAGGGAGTACACATGCAGGACATTCGCAACTTGTTTGGTATCATATCTATAATCTTGAAAGTAGAGAAACGTACCCTTGAACGTAGGCTACATACTGAGAATGAAAATTGAACGAACAGTAAAGATAGCGTTATTGAGATGGCTAAGCAGCCTGAAAAATATCAAGAATTATCCGGGATACTCCGCAAAACTATTTTTTTACTGGAGGAATGTTATGAGAGAGGCAGGGACAAAGTGGATTGAAGCAACCAAGATAGTAATGGACAGGAAAGAATGGGAACAAAGAATAACCAAGCGGATCGAAAATTTGGAAAAATGGGAATGCCAACAGGTAAACTTTTCAACGGGACGAAAGGGTGGAAACAAAAAATTTGAATTAACTACAGCAAGCTTTCAGTGTAATGATTGTAGAAAGCTGTGTAAAGAAGTTGGTGGACTAAAAAGACACATCAAAAGAATAAACACTGAGGCAAGAAACTTTTCCAAATGCAACCGTTGAGACAAAACATATAAACTTGAAGGCTGCTTTAAAACCACGTGAAATCATGTAACCCGTAAGCGGCCGAAGAGGCCAGGGTCTACAAACCAGCAACCAAGATCTGTACCAAAGTCAACAAAAAGTACTCAGCGACCAATATGACACACGATTGGATGCAGGGGGAGAGGGCATGCTTCCGAGGAGGCGAATGCCTGAAGACGAAGAAGAAGAAGAAGAAGAAGAAGAAGAAGAAGAAGAAGAAGACCCTTTCAGAACGAAGGACTGGGATAAACGAAGCGATTTGACAATGGCCCCACAAAACTCACGCGTCCCCAGAGTGTTAGACGAGAAGGAATTTGCCGAGAGAGACATTGAGCTTCGTCAACCTAAGGCACCTGCAGAGCTGCAACACGGAACAGCCAAGCGGCCAAAGGAGGCCCGCCTATACCGTGTACCAGTAAACCGAAGTTACAGACAAAAAAGACCCAGCCAGGTATAAGAAATTTGATTAAAAAAATTGAGAAAATTCCGCCATATACCGTTAAAAAGAAAAAAAGCTATTTGTTAAGATGAAGTGGTAGCTCGCTTAGATACGAGCCAGAACCTGAGATTGCAGGAGTTGCAGGCCCATCAACAAGTACGACGGAAAAATGAACGGAAAATTAGCTGTGCCTTACCAATTGGGACGGACAAATCAACGCTTCAGAGCGAGAGACGATTGCGAGCACAAAGAGCGGCCAGTACAAAGAATGCGGTATCGGAGAAGCAAAAATAGGGAGAAAACTCGCCATATCCAGTGGCGAAGATTCCGACGACACGGCGGACGAATCAAACACATTTACGGCGAAGGGGGAGAGCAGAGCAAGAGAAACGCCAATGGCACCGGAAACCAAACCACGCAAAACCGCGGAAACGCAGGAGGACATCCTCTCTCCTAACTAGACCAAGTTACGAGTTTCCTCCCCCAAACTTTTTTGGAAAAATATGTCTCAGGGCTGCGAGAAAAACGCTCAATTCTGATTAGCTGAAACTCTGATTGTGCAATGGTTTGAATTGTCCAATATTCTGATTGTCCAATACAGTTTTGCATCAAAGAAGCTCAGCGCTTCAGTCTATTTTCTTCCAACATCGAGCAATAGCCTTCGGATCATTACAGTTTGTATAAAAAGCAAAATTTAAGTGATGCGAATCTTCGTAACTTCTCATCGCTTTATAATTATTTAGGTTGAGTCGAACGTATCCTTTAACTTCTATTATAACTTTAAAAACCAAACAAACTAAAAGAATATGGGTTTATGTTTAATGTCCGGTTTCATGTAAATCTTCAAGTACATCTTGGCTGTCTATATCGAAATGAGGAACTCCCCAGGACTGGGTCTCACCGGAGCCCAAAACGGCGAAGGCCAGTCCGCCCGTCCACGCGACCCCCGCGAAGGTGTAGAAAGCATTCAGCCACAAATCCTTGCTGTGCACATTGTCCTCAGTGATTTTTTCCACTATAATGGGCGACAGAAACCCACTGGTAGTGGCCACAGTGTTGGTGATGCCAAAGATAATGCCCGCAAAATGAGGAGCCAGGTCTAGGTTGTTACAATAGCAGGCCGAGTAATGGGCGCCGAAAAAGAACATTCCGATTGCTATAAAGGCAATAGCTTTTGCATCGTCACAGCCAGCATAACCAGCAAGAACCAGAAACAACCCGGGTAAAAAAGTGCTAATAATTTGGTTGAACTTGCGGATGAATGTAGTGGAAACGTATTTTCGGCTGCGTAAAAAGTCGGTTATCTGAGACGTCAAAACTGTTCCAATGAAGCAGCACAGCCACGGCAATGCACTTAAGAAGCCATTGGAGGCGATGTCAAAATTGAGAACCTCCGACAGGTACTGAGGCAGCACTGACATCAGGCCATAGTTTATGAAGTTAACTGAAAAGTGGGCAACTAAGAGTCCGTAAAAAGGCAAACTGGTAAAAATACCTTTCCATGGAATTTTGTACTTTTTGCCGTCGTCGACCTGTGACTGAGTTTTGATGAATGTCCTCTCGCTTTGGGAGATGCGAGGGTGTGTGTCGGGCGAGTCATACACAATTAGACACCAGGCGACATACCAGACAATGGCAAGTATTCCATTCGCATAGAAGCCCAGAGGCCATCCATCCCACAGGGCCACAGTGCACAAGTAGCCGACTAGGGGCTGGATGGCCATGTTGCCGAAGCTGGCTCCAGACACAGAGAGAGCTGCGAAGAGGCTGCGCTCGAATTTGGGGGCCCATCGGCCAATCAGGTGGTGGAAAGAGGGAAAGGTCATCGCCTCTGTCACTCCCTCCAGAACCCGCAGGATTATCAGCCACTCCACCCCCAAGTAGGAGGCTGGGGGTGTGAGGAGGGTGAAAACACCGGTCAGCAGAACCCCCAGCCCATAAAGATGTTTGCCCCCATACTTGGAAGCTACATACCCTGCAGGTAATTGTGTGACCATGTAGCCATAGTAAAATGCACCCAACACATTCGCTTGCTGTCCTGATGACCACTCAAAAGTTCCGTCGTCAGCTTCGTCTGAGCTAGAGTTCGAATCTCGCACTGGACAGTTTTCGTTGATGGATTTGTTGTCGTTTGACTGCTCGCTTTTCACCATGTCGACCAGAGCTACGCTGATGTTTATCCGCATTGAGTACAGCAGGAAGAAACCAAGGAAACCCATGAAAGCCAGTCGGTATCTAGTCGAGAAAATTTTACCTCGCACTGTTTCGTGGTAACCGAAATCATCGCTGATCAAATTCTTAGTCTCGAAGCTCCCATAACTCAGCTTACCTGAGCTTTTCATCGCAATGGCAACACTTCGCCGGTACTTTGGTACCGACAATTAAACTTTAACAGAAATATTTAGATCGGAATTTAGCCACTTGAGAAATACCAAGGCTACACTTCAAGTTTATTCTGGTTTAGGCATTTGCTTATGGTGGTATAGTTAGTATAGATCATAAATCAACAACCCAAAACTGTCATTTGATACTACGAGTGAACTGTATTTTGCTGCTCAGTTTGGTTACCAATTAAGAAGCCATAAATTGCTTGTTTTCTAGCAACTCTGACCAATCAAAAATCAAAATATAAGTCGTTTATTGCAACGATTAGTGAATTTTTGAAACCTTTTTGGTTGCCCGAAACGTCAAAAGGAAGGCGTTCTTGCTTTGCCATCAGGAAAGTTTTTGGAATTTTTTTTTTCGATTGAAAACTTTTTTTCCGTGAATCAGTTTCAACAGCCCCGATGGTCGGTCTACCGTAGTCAAACGGTCAGATGACTATATATCTATTGTAAACAGTTCACTAAACCTCACACAAGTGCGCCCAGGTAAACAAATGACAATAAATAATTGATCAATTTCCAAAGGCTTTGTTTCAGATAACTTCTTTGCCAGAAACTTCTTGCATTTTGGTTTACGTGCTCAAACACCATGCGAACATCCATTTTTGGTCAAGCGCTACAATTTTAATGTGTTTTGAAACTAAGTGCAGACCTGAACATGCAGGAACGCAATAAGTTGTTGCCTAAATGGAGTTACAGGCTTAAGAGGGTAAACTTTTCTGGTATCACGAACAAATTTTTCAAGTTAAGGTTACTATGAATCCACATTCAAAATTTCGAAGAATAAGTCAATTACTGAATTGGGGAATACTTGAAAAAAAAATTGGAGTAGAAAAATTCGCTCATACAATACATTTAAAATATTTGTGTAGTTAGTTAACGCAGCAAATCGTTGTTCTGATTTTTTAACAAAGCTATCTATGCCAAAAAATGGGGTGGATCTATCTATGCAGGGGCGGATCTAGGATTTTCTCGAGGGGGGGGGGCGGATTTTCAAAGAAATTTCGAAAGTTTTGACGACCTTTTTTTTTTTTTAGGTCGATCAGATTGACGTTCCGAGCTCTCCCAAAGCAGTAAAAAGACCCTGTTTTGGCCAAACTTTCTGCGCCGCAGGCATTTTTTTGATAAAACAGGTCAAAAAAGCCGTTTTTGGGCACTTTTTGGAAAATTTTGACAAGAAAAACGCATTTTTTTGGCGCGCGCTCCCACTCAAAATTAGTATATATTGGCGCCGAAGGCGCCTTTAGAAAAATTTTAGGGTCGGTCGGCCAAAAATGGATTTCTTAAAAAGTACCAAAGGGGGGACCCTTTGGGTTGGCAGGGGTTCGAATCCCTGAGGGGGGGGGGGCGTAAGCCTGTCCCCCCCCCCTTAATCCGCCCCTGGTCCTATGCAAAAGTAAAGCTACAGCAATGGTTTTTCTTATAGTTTTTTGTCCATGTTTCAAGCTCTCAAAAACTCATCTGCTTTGATCTTATATTTTGAAGAACATGCAATCTCTTAATAATAACAAGAATAAACGGTTACTGTGCCAGTAGCACAAAACAATCTGACCATAGTCCCAGAAACAATAGGCGCTAAAATACTAGAAAAAAAAACTAGTGTTACTCGAGTAAAATTAAGTTTTTCCGTTTTAAATTATGCTATTGTAAGCTTTTAGGCCAATAAAATAAGCTAGTGTAAGCCTGCTTGTTCGCTGTATTAGCGGGATTTGAAACGAACCTCCAAAAATTTTAAATCTGTTGTTCTCGACACTGGAAAAACTTTTTCAAAAATTATTAAAAACATTTGAATCACGACTGTAAAGGCTTTTATATGATATATCACTTAATCCCAGAAAAAAACTAAAACACTCCCAAATACAAAGTTTCTCCTCGTTTTTCAATTTGTTAGACCAACTAGATTCCTTTTACATCAGGGCCAAGCCCTGAAACTTCCGACTGCACTTCAAGGCCCATTTAAAAAAGTTTTTGCCTGAAAATTTACCAAAAATTTGGAAAAAAGCCTTTTCTTGTTTCATTTTGTTTTTCAATTTTTCCCCCACACGCTGATCTAAGCTACAAATGGATGCAAAAATAACCCGGGTAAAAGTTTTCCGCTCTTTCGTTGAAGGTCGGAACAATTATAACAAAATTGGTCCTATCAGGGCAAAATCTTGAATGCCCGACTGTCTTAGCTGGTCTCGACTAGCTTTTGGCAAATGAAATATGGACAATCTATGAGTTTTAGGCAGATAAGTTTAAGTTTCAAGTCGTGAATGGAACGAAAAAGAAAAGATTAGCTTGCCTCAATCCAATTTGGAATATATTTACAGAGCGGGATGATATCCAAGCGTAAAAAATTCGTGTTGAACTTTTAGTATCAAACTATAATACGAGCAGTTTTGCTTGTTTCTTGTCAGATTTTTATACTGGAATGCGCAACTGCGGGGCTCTCAAAGATCCAGAAGTTAATTCCGAGTGAGCAAACATTAACTTTTATATTGGCCTGAAAAAAATCAAACCTCGCATTCTTTTTATTCCTTGCATACTTGGATAATTGGAACAATGAATTAAATCCAATCAAACTTTGTGGCAATTTAAATGAAGCAAAAATAAACAAAATTCAAAGTTATTGACTGACAATATTGGGAAGGCGCTATTTAACATTAAGATCTAATTTTCAGTGCCTCAAGCTGAAAAAATAGCTTTATGCGCGCATAGCAATTTATGTAGCTGTTTCGATAATTCACTTATTCGATAAGGGTAGTAGTCGCAAGTGAATAATCTCTGGTTATGAAGCTGTTTCGAATTGGATCAAGGCGGTGGAATTCTACTACCTGAACCCGGAGAAGAAACTGGGATTGAGTGACATATTCAATTTCGCCTCTGCTCTGGTCGAGGTGGTGGAACTCTTCTACTCCCACCACACTCGGAAATTACGTTTCAATCATAAAGTTACAGAAATCGAAAAAAAAAATTGTAATTGAAACTTTTTTGGCTAGGAACCACCCTATTATTCAAAATCAAATCTTCTAGAAGGCTCTTTTCTGGAATGAATCAATCACAGGTTTGGAGGTATTCATATCAACTACTCACTCATTATTTACACAGAGGTGCAGCTGCGCTTCCCAAACACTTGCAACAACACTACCAAAAACAGATCTATCAAGTTAAATGAGAAAAAGTAGTAGATATAAGCCTCAAACTAAGAACAACTCGGCTATGTGTAGGATTAGAAACTGCGATCTACTGCAATCAAGAGATTTGCAGTCTCATGCAATACTTTCTCAGCCACTCAAGCTTGACAACCGACAAACACTAGTCACGAATAAAGCAGCTACATATGCTAGCAAATTGCCAATGCGATTAAGCACCAACACAAACAGACTCAATTTTGCAATCATCAATTTGGAATATAACAAACAGAAAACATCCACAATAACTTTGCATGTAACAAATCGCAAGGCATAAAGCCACATTTTGTATAAAGAATTCTTTTCAGACAAATTGAGTTAGAAATTTCTGAAACCGAATTGTGATGTTGTTTGAAGCGAATAGCTTTTTTCGATTCATTTGATGAATTCAAAAATATCAACTGTGTTAATTTATTACGATTCGAATGTCAAAGCACATGCTCTCAAAAAGTTGTAAAGGTGCCCCCCACCATTATTGGGCTTCCGCACCATAAAAGTGCCGCAACAATATTTGCGACTTAGGTTGGAAATAAAAGTAGGTTCGTAATAATGACAGTTTTTACTATTTTTTTTAAAAATCGTTTTTCTAAATTAAAGTTACATAGACTTTTTTATTTTTAACACTTCATTTTTGTTCTTAATTTTACTTGCAGAATCGCAATTTAAAACTTTGACTCGGATATTTCTTTTTTCGAAAAAATCAAGTTTCTGTTTCTAATTTTCGAATCAACCAGCAAAGTTGAGCAAAAAAACATGCGAAACAATGACGAACTAGATATAAAAGACCAGTCCGTTTTTGATACTTGTAATATATCAAACTCGATCTCGATATATTTGAAAGCCAGCAATTTTAATATTATCTTTTAAAACACTTTGTGGCGCTCCTATAGGGGTGGTGCCCAGCAGTCATATGATTACTTGTTCAAATGGCATGTGCTCTGGAGTTAGCCCGGTGAGTTCTAGCAAGTAATTCAAAGCTTTAAGGGTGCTGGTTTGATGCCCTCTTGACAACAGAGAAAAAAATTCGGGTTATGCCACCGCGTGGGTTGACTAAAAAGATTTAGGATGTCGGTATTTCTGTTTTGACCGACGACAAGATCTTGATAAGCATGCATATAGAATTCACAGCTTTTATGGCATATCAATTATTATTCGTCAATAGAAGTTCCCGCATCCAGTTTCAAGCGTTAATAATCGATTATGATATGATTTTAGTGGCAGTCTTACAAAAATTGAAAAAGAAAATGATTTCAAATAATTAATAATCGATTATAACCTCTCTTTTGAATTCGAATATAATTAATTAAAATGGATTATAATCGATTAATTTTATCCGAACTTCTAATTAGTTTGTTTTCCAGAAAAAATCCATTATAATCGATTATAATCCCTAATGTTTGACCATTGTCTTCGACCTTGCACCTGAATTGCTTATGATTTATGCTTTTCGTAGACGTTGGTTTATGTGAAAAATGGGAAAACTGCTTTAACGGTTTTGAAATCAATTCAAATTTTTAATGTTCCTATTTTATCATTTCTTCTGGATTATAATTGTTTCTCGATGCACATTTTAAGTTTTTTTTACCCGCAAATATCAGCACAGAGCTTTAGTTTCATGATTGATATTAAAAAATTATGTTTCACTTACCGCGGGATTCTTTCAACTAAGATGAAGGGATCTCTATGAAACTTTTGTTTCGTTGTTGTTGTAGTTGCCTCTCGCCGGGGCCCTACATTGTGGGGGGTACCCCGGCCAGGTCAATGAAACGGGCGGCTTCCACCGGGTTTGTCCAAAGGGCAGTGAGGGGGAGGTTAGTGGGGTTTGTGGGGCACTGGAACAGGTGGGCAGTCGTGTGGGGGGCTGTATGGCAGAGGGGACAGGAGGACCCTTGGTCTGGTTCGAGCCTAGCCCGGTACGACAACAGGTGTTGACTGTAGCCGGACCGAAGTTGGCTGAGGGTCCTCCGAGTACGTCTGGGTAGGGTCTTCTCCTCTCGGACGTTGACAGGAGGGGGTCTTGTACCGAGGACTCCAGACGGTGGATACGATTGGGTTGTCGTCGCCACCGTCTCTGTGTGCACAGTTTTCAGGAGCCGCCGGTACTCCTTCGTTGGTAGCGGCAGGTCAACGCCTTCGAGGAGGTGATCCAGACGGGGGGCATGGGCAGAGACTAAAGTGGGTTTCATTTTGCGGGGGGAGGAGGTTTCTCGGGGAGTCTCTGACCATGGTGTTCGGGGAGGTGGCAAGCCAAGAGATGTTGTGTTGCAAGCATTGCCGTGTGGGCTTTCACCCGGAGCACCTGCTTCTCTTCGTGTAGGTGGCTTTGGGGGGCCATTAGATGGTTCCCGGTGGCGACCCGCAGAGCCGCGTTTTGGATGGTCTGCAGACGCTTGACACTGGTCTCGGATGCGACTGTAGACCAAACTGGGGCCGCGTATTCGAGACGAGGCCTGACCAAGGCTTTGAAGGTCACGAGTAGCGTTTCCGTGTCCTGACCCCAGTCCGTGCCTGCCAAGGCCTTCATGGCGTTGACCTCCCTGGAGGCGTTGGAGGCAGGGATCCTGCAATGTTCCCCGAACTTGAACATCGGGTCAAACCTGACACCAAGTACTTTGGGGTGTTTTTCCAACTTGAGCGGGATATCTGCCACCGTCAAGTGTGGTTGTACGTTGCATTCCTTGGTGTCAGGCGTGAGTAATGTTACAGCGCATTTTCCGGGGGAGAGTGCGAGTTTGAGGGATTGAAAGTAGGACGTTAGGGAGTCGAGGTATGGCTGCAACTTAGCGGTGATGATATTGATCTTCGGCCCGCTGGCCCAGGGCGTCACGTCGTCTGCGTAGCTCACCACGTTGACACCCTCGGGAGGGGAGGGAGCCAACGTAGGAGTTAAACAGAGTCGGTGATATGACTGAGCCTTGCGGAACACCTGTTCGGACAATTCTGGCGGGAGATGTCTCACCGCGGAACAGGGTGCGTGCTTGGCGGCCGGTCAGGTACCCTGAGAGCCAGCGAAAGGGGTAGTGAAGTTCTGCTCAATTTCTCCAGCAGGGTGCGGTGACATACCATATCAAAGGCCAATGTCGCCAGTACCGTGCGGTCTGCCGGTTTCTTTTGGTTGAAACCGTCGGCGACCGCGCTGGAGATTTCGAGCAGGGCAGTTGTGGTTGAGTGGAGGGGGCGTAAGCCGTGTTGGTGTGGTTCTGGGGTCAGGTGGAATTGAAGTATTGGGAGGATGCAGGCTTCCAAAATTTTGACAGCGGGGCAGAGTAACGAGACGGGGCGGTAGGAGGACCAGTCCTGTGGGGGTTTTCCGGGCTTGAGTAGTGGTATGACAATTGATTTTTTTCCAAATGGCGGGGATTCGTGGTGAGAATTTGTGTTCAGATGAACCAAAGAAAGACAAGACATCTCACTTTTAGAGATTTTGACGGTAAAAAAGGACTAGAATCTATTATAATAGATTTTCGGAAAAATTATAATCAATATTAATTGATTATAATTTATTATAATGTCACGAAAAATGTTATCATTATAATAGATTATAAATCGTTAAACGTCTTAACTTGGCGCTTATAATCAATTATAATTTTTATAAAAGTACAATTATAATTGTAATATAATCGATTATTTTCTCTTTTTACGGAGTGCGGGTTGTATTTATGGGTATGCAAGCTGCCTCTATTCTGCTAAGATTTCTAGAAAGAACATCTGATAACATTTTCAAATCAATTATTATTGCCAAGAGGAAATTATAAAATAGATAAAAGTTTCAGCTACAACTAAGTCTCACAGATAGTTTACAAATTATGTACAATTGATGGCTCTGAACCAAACAATTTAATTCAATTATAACATTAAAAATCAGAAAATTTACATTTTTACAGCTTGGTGATTTTTACAACCCATTAGAATATATCTACACGGTGGGAGAATGGTTTTACTCACAGTATCACATCTTTAGTTTACAGAGAAATGTCCATCTATGTCACAGTCGTTTTTCATCCAAAGAACGAACAGCAAAGAAATCCTATAAATTTTATAATAATAAATCAAATCAATGTCAAAACTGTTCAATGTTCTTTGCAATTTGGGAATTGAATTGACAAGTGTCTCGAACTAGAATAAGCATCCGCGTGGACCGACTCCGTCTATCGTTCCTCCTCCTCATGGAACCTCTCCTCCCCCTCCCCCTCCCCCTGGCCCCGATTGAGGCTAGCTGGTTGGTGGTCTGTGGTGTTCTGTTGGCGAGAGAGGGACTGGAGACTGGTGTCTGCGGCGGCTGTGGCGAATGTGTTGGGAGTGGAGGAGTGGCTCAGTTCCACCACCTGGGCCAGAGCAGAGGCGAAGTTCAGCAGGTCACTCACCTCACTCAGCCCCAGTTTCTTCTCCAAAGTCTGGTAGTAGAACTCCGGCGCCTACATCCAGTTCAAAACAGAGTCCACATAACTGCAGATTATTCACTCGCGACTACCACCATTATCACATCCCCCTCATTTTTACTACAATTTTACTCGCTTTGCAAGCCTGAGTTGAGTGTATTTTATTCCATCCAGCGGTTCTCCGCAAAGACCTCGGATTTAGGTGTATTCCCTCATGGATAAATATTTTTCTAGTAAATCTTAAATCTAGTCACAAATTGGTCTTTATTAAATTGAAGAAAAAACGGAGAAAGATCACAAAAAAAACATTAAAAACTAAAACAGTTCCCAGTTAAAAATGAAATAATACATCACAGAGGAATCGAGCGCATGGATGTTCTATCGATCCTCCAGCAACTCACCCATAAGAGTATAAGAAAAGGTTTGGTGAGTAGTGAGGATGCTACTCACATTGGCATTCATGCGTTGCAGCTGCAGAAGATATCTTCCCGGAAAAGTCTTCAAGGAGGGAGAGTAACTGAAACAAAAGAAAAGAACACTCGTGTGCTAATTATACCCAGATCGATTCTGAATTGCATGTAATTTTCAATTTAATTGATGAGGCACATCTACCCACAACAAAAATATGAACGCTGGAGTTGAAACAAGACTGCCCGTATGTCAGGGCGAAATACTGAATGTTCAAACTGCCACTTAATTTACCTCCAATCGTTTACAGTAACGATGAATTTGATAAGCTATAATATTGGTACTGTCATATATATTTCTCCATAGTACATTTACTCAGCACCTTTTTTCCAATTTTTCCAAAGTACAAAAACAGAGAGGATAAACAAATGGCGCGTGAAAATGCGCACTCAAAGCCTGTGCTTAAATTTAATATAATTCCAAGAACTTAACTGACTAATTAAAATATATACTTTTATATTTACAAAATTTTACTAAGAAAAAATGTGTAGACCTGAAACCAAACCAAGAGACCGCATAGCTCCCAACAACAGGTCACTTGCATTCACTTAAGTGCATTTGATAATGGATAAGAAAAACAACTTTTTCTTTTCCCTTCTTTTTTTCAATGGTAACTTTTGCATCAATTTTTTTTTCAAAAACATTGTTTAAACTGTGAATCCGTGTTTCCTGGTCACACCCAAATAAGGGTTAATTAAACAGGGTTAACTTGAACAAAAATTAATTGTCAAATATAAAGCAATTAAGTTTTGAAGTTCCTAAAATGTATTTGTTTTGAACAAAAATTAATTGTCAAATATAAAGCTATTAAGTTTTGAAGTTCCTAAAATGTAATTGTTTTTTAACTTAAGTACAAAAACAAAATTGCGTAGACTGCTCATTCGCCCAAGACTAATGGGCATTGAACAGTTCGCGCAAAAAATATACAAGTTTTGATCCGCGATGCTGCAACAAATCAGATTCAATTTTGTAGAAGCACGCTAGTTTTCTGACAGCTTGCGGAAAAAAATAGTGTACTTAAAATGAGACTGGATTTCGGCAGAAATCTGATTGAAAAATATATTAGAATGAAATTTCACATATGAAAAATTATTCAATGTCCATGATGACCTAAAAATTTACACGATGCTTTGGGAGAAAAAAAACATCATTTAGATCAGTATTATTTTAAGAAGCTTGAGTATTACGATTGCAATTTATCAAAAACGGTTTCATCTGTATCTAGTTTCAATTTACTATTTAGTTTCAATAACACGTGATAACTCAACAAATCTGAATAAAACTCACTTGAATTCAGAATGAATGCAATTATATTCTTATCATCTGCAAACGGAAGTATATCCGACGCTTCGGGTAAGCGAGGCATATCATTATTAAACATAAGAAAAGCAGTGGACCCAACGAAGACCCTGCTGAACCTATCTATCAGATAGCCAGTCAGATTTTTCTTATTCATCTCAACGCACTGGCGCCTATCAGATAGATAGCTATGGAATTAGTCTGAAAAAAAGTTGCTTCGTAGTATTACACTATACTTGGCTTGTGTAAATAAAGGTCTACCAAGCCATGCAAAAACATATTGAGGTCTTGAGACATGTTGGTCACTAAAAAAAGTCGAATACCAAATAAAACGAAAAAAAAAACGTCCCAGTCTCAGTAGTAAACATTACGTAGTCGGAACTTAAACAACAAAAATTAGTGCGTGTGATTTTGGAGGGGCGGCTGAAAAAAAAGAGTAAAGTACCTGGTGAGGTTGAGAGTGTCCACCCACTGGGCCACATCCTCCTCCGACCACTGCAGCAGAGGGTGGTCCCTCCTAGTGGCCATAGTGTCCAACACTCCCCCTGCTGTGGCTGCCGTGGGGTCTGTGCTCTCATGCAGCAGTCCAGCCATGTTGCTGCTGTATCTTTGCCCCCCATTCAGTCTGGGAGTGGAAGTACTCTGGCTAGGAAACAGTTTCACATGCAAAATTTATCACAATACCTTGCCTGTTAAACGATCATTTTTTTTACTCTTCACACATTGATGCGATTTTTCAAATGTGTAATTCGTTGCATTTCAAACTGTTTTCTGGCATCTTTGATAAAATATATGAGCTCAGCCAGTTCAAGAACAACTAATACTCCAAAAAATACAGCCAGCGATTGGCACATTATAAGTCACACTACTGCTATTCTTCTGTTGAGTATCCAAGTGACCTTGGATGAAGTGTGTTCAACGTCATATACACTAACTGCAACTAACTCTTGTTCGTAATCAGTATTCTTAATTGTATCCCCCCTATTTCTCTCTCTTTTACCTGTCGGGTGGGGAAGGGTGGCTCGCCCACATGTATGTATCTAGGTCTTTAAGAAGGAGTCCGAAGTTGGCGTCTACCAGATTCGCGTGGTGCATGTCCAGCCACGGCCGATTCCCTACACAACACAAGCATACACACACTAACTTTACGCTACACTACGCGCACGTCTTTTATGTATTCACTCAATTTTACTCTATCATTAATTTGCCCTTTTCTTTTTCAATTGTTGAATAATCCAACTGCTTCTCTTCTGATTATTTCATTCAGGTGTACTCCTGTTTGTTTCGTGTAGTACTACTGAAATGTGCCACCCTGTCCCCGCTAAAGTGTCTTGATTTGATATCAAACAATGAAAAAAAATAACTTGGGCTGCTAGTAAGTATCATACATAATGAGTATCGAATCGTTATATAATTTCTAGTTTTCATTTTGAGACTTTCTTCTCATGAATCTTAAGCTAATGATTTCCCCTCCGAGTAAAAACTGATCTCTCCCTCCTTGCACTATGTAGCTAATTATATTGAAATGCCTTCAGTCAAAACAGAATCAATGGATTGTCAAGATAAATTGAGATGACCTGCAATTTGATTTTTTTGAATTGATTTGATTTCAGAGACGTCATTGATTTTTATGTCCATCTTTCTCTGCAGTTTTGCGGTAGATATAACAATCGTCGGCAATGGACCTTGAGCCGAAGCTAGGAGCTCGCTCATTTATATCAAATTCCTGGCGAATCTTAACGTTTTTGCTTGACTTTAGTAAAAGTCAAAGTTTTAATGGCATTTCTAATATAGTGTTTGATTTGTTCTTTCAGTGGCGTGAACAGCATGTCGAGTTTACGAGGGAAATCCATAATATATGAAAACAAAATGATTTGATCTCTAAAACTTCATACTTCATAAAAACTGACAATCAAAAGTCATCTAGTAAGATCGGATTAGATTAAAACAATCAGCTTAAAAAGAAAAAACTCGACTGGTGTGAACAAATAAAAGGAGATGAAGAGATGAATTAAGTTGTATCGACCGAGTCAATAGAGGAGATTTGAAGCAGCAGACGATGTCAATCACAAACAGCTGAAACTAATCATTTCATAAACCATTGAAGACTACAATGCCACCAAAATTAGATGCAATGAGACCTGCAGCGGAGATGGAAAAAACTGTCGATGATCAGACGTCATCTCTTTTCAAATTTTCGCTCAATGTAACCAACAAATTCAAGATTATATTGCCTCTTTTCGAAACCAAGAAACCGCAACTAACCAATTCAAACTTATCCATGTCTTTTTAAGAGCTGCGAGCACATAGAAGCAACTAACTAATTCAAATTTATACCCAGTCTTTTTATTAGCATACAGGAGCAACTAACTAATTCAAATTTATACCCAGTCTTTTTATTAGCACATAGAAGCAACTAACTAATTCAAATTTATACCCAATCTTTTTATTAGCATATAGGAGATGGAAAAACTGTCGATGATCAGACGTCATCTCTTTTCAAATTTTCGCTCAATGTAACCAACAAATTCAAGATTATATTGCCTCTTTTCGAAACCAAGAAACCGCAACTAACCAATTCAAACTTATCCATGTCTTTTTAAGAGCTGCGAGCACATAGAAGCAACTAACTATTTCAAATTTATACCCAGTCTTTTTATTAGCATATAGGAGCAACTAACTAATTCAAATTTATACCCAGTCTATTTATTAGCATATAGGAGCAACTAACTAATTCAAATTTATACCCAGTCTTTCTATTAGCACATAGAAGCAACTAACTAATTCAAATTTATACCCAATCTTTTTATTAGCATATAGGAGCAACTAACTAATTCAAATTTATACCCAGTCTTTTTATTAGCACATAGAAGCAACTAACTAATTCAAATTTATACCCAGTCTTTTTATTAGCACAGAAGCAACTAACTAATTCAAATTTATGCCCAGTTTTCTTATTGTTCCGACTTTCGTTACGAAAGTAACGTAATATTTATGCTCGGGGTGGGTTTTTTCTTCAGACAAATTTTTGACTTTTTTTAACTAGCCATTTTTGACAAAATTTTTAAAAATTATTCGAAAGCTATTGTTGTTCTGAGCTTCAATTTGAAAAGTATTTCACCTGTGATCATTTTTTGTAAAGTTATGGGGGTTTAAAAATTGCCAATTTGAGGACAATTAACTCGCAATATTTTCGCGCTATTAACGCGGAAGCGGAGATTTAATCGGTCTTAGAAATCGTTCTAATTTGGTTCAAGGAAGCTTATTTTCCATAACTGAATTGTTACAAGTAGCGTAATATACTCTTCTGCACTTTAAATGGCGAGTGGGAGGATGGTTTTCGTAGAAAAAATTTCAAATTTTAGAAGAAAAAATTTTTTCAAAAAAAAACATATATAAGAAGCAATTAACTTATTCAAACTTGAAACCTAGTCTTTTCATTACGAGGACAAACTGTGCACTGGATAGGAGCACAATTTTGTGTCTATATGTTCCTGGATTCCAGAGACAAGTCTTAAAAAATGTTCCAAAATGTAAGTGGATTCCACAAACAAAATTTCAGTGGATTCCGCATACATATACCTACTACGTAAATTTTTTCGGCACATTTGTTTTGGTGCGGATTCCGCAACAAGCAAATATAGCTAGTTGTTCTGGATTTCTAAACTGTAAGTGGAATCCGCAAAATGTAAGCGGAATCCGCAAATGTAAGTGGATTCCGCAAACTGTAAGTGGATTCCGAATTTTGTTCAATTCTTATTTCTAGCAATGCGGAATTTAAAAGCAAAGACTTAACCATTGTCAGCGGAATTCACGAACAAGTCTTAAAACATTGGTTACCTAAGCCGGTGGGTGTCATCTTTTAGTATTTTGGAAACACAACACTGGACAATTTCAATATTTGGAGTCATTGAGTATGGAACACACAGCATATCGACAAATTAGGTCACTATTTGGGATTGCGTCAACCCCAAATACTGATTTTGGAAGCATAACGCCGAAAAATGCAGTAATTGTAGTCATTGGGTTGAGAGTGTATGGAAACACAATACAACATATCGCCAAATTTGGTCAGTATTTGGGATTCCATCGGTCGCAAATACTGGTCAGTATTTGGGATTGATGAAGTCCCAAAAACTGGAATAAATATGGAAAATATTTATTATTTGGAGTCATTAGGTTGAGAGTGATTAGAAACCCAACGCATAGCAAATCGTCGAATTAGTTCAGTATTTGGGATTTCATCGATCCCAAATACTGGTCAGTAATTGGGATTCCATTAATCCCAAACACTGATCTATTCTAGTGAAATCAAATCAAGTATTTGAAAAATAGAATGTTTAAGGCTACTACATATATAAATATATGTAAAGGGAATCCGCAAACAAAATGCGGATTCAACTTACAATTTGCTGATTCCTTTTACAATTTGCGGATTCCACTTACAGTTGCGGATTCCGGAACAGCTCAATTTAACGATACAAATGTTTTATCATTTACTTATGGATTCGACAAACTGTTCTGGGTTCCGCAAATACAGTTGCGGATTCCGCAAATTCGCCTATTTTTCGAGCGATTTTGAGCGGTACAATGATTTTTTTCAGGTATTTGTTTGTGGAATGCAAAACAGCATAGAAGATCAAAGAAAAGTAGCAATGTTGCGGATTCCGCGACAAATCTGATTTTGGCCTGTTGCGGATTCTACTTACAATGCAGAGAATGCAGTTTGGCCTCGTAATGTTTAAAAGCGTGGAGAAACAACTACCTCATTCAAATTTCGAAAACTCTTCACTTAATTATAAACCTATGTGCTTCCAATTTATACCAAGTCTTTTTTAAATAGCAGCTGTGGAAAACGAAGGCCTGATTTTGAGCAAAACTGAAGCTGAGAGAGAGCACATAAATCGAAACAGACAAACTTGTGCTCATGGATGAAATAACCAAACGAAAAAAAGTTTGTGCTTTTTAAAACTCTTTTCACTTCCAACCAATTGAATTATTTAATCTCAGTTTTTCCCTCTTTCAAAGAATTTTTCAAGTAAAAACTTGAGACTGAAACAACGCCTGAAAAACAGGCGGTTAACACAGAGAGAGCTAAGCTTCGCAAACACTGGTGAGAACAGGACAAAAAGCAGCTCTATGAAATGCAAAAGTAGAAATAAGCCGCGAATTAGTAAAAACTCGACTACGTCTCGGATTAGAACATACGGCTTACTGCGACCTAGATACTATAAGACTCACGCACTAACCATTCAGCCACGGACGCTTAATTAGTGACAAACTAGCCGCAAATAAAGCAGAGAACAGATGCTACAGTAAATTGAGCAAGTTAAAGTTATTAAGCGAGTTTTATTTGCAAATTAAGCTAGAAAAACTAAAATACTAACGCTCGCAACTTGGCTAGTGTGAAAAACTGGTTTACTTATTCGTAATAGCAGCTTAAAACGAAATGGTACAACAGGAAACCAAGATGATAAAAACTTTAGGTGAAGAGTGCATCTCATTTTTGCACATTTTCAAAGCAACAAGTATTAAGCCAAAAAGCATCTCTCAGGTTTTGAATATGCTGAGCGGTGTTTGAAAATTTTAGACAATATTTAGAGAAAAACTGATCATAAACATTATAATAGATTGAAATGGATTTGAGTGAAAAAATTCAGACAATATTTAGAGTTGCTCGATTTTATTTTATTTCAAAGTTGTAATGACATTTGTAAAATTTGCTTTCATGTGCTCTTGTTGTTGTTGTTGTTAGCCCACGCGGGTCGGGTTGGCCTCTTCTGTCTCCAGGTCAAGGAACTTAGCAACCTCTACCGGCCGAAGCCACAGGTCTGCTGGGGTGAGTGGGGAGGGGTTTCGGGAGCAGTTGAAAAGGTGACATGTTGTGTGGGGGGCAAGGGAACTAGGTTGGGCAAAGGTGGGAGATGGAGCTGTCGAGGCGGGATAGGTAAGTGTTAAGGAGCCGGGAGTAGCCAGACCGGAGTCGGGAGAGCTTACAGCGCGTGGGACGTGGGAGAGATTTTTCAGAGGGGTCAATCTTTGGGGGAGGGATACAAATAACTTTAGACGGAGGGGTTTCGGCTAGGAACTTGGTTACAAGGGAGGTATGGTTGTC